TAATATTGGGGGGGGGGGGGGGGGTAGGGGGGTCCTCAGACTAAACAGTACAGAGTGCCATTATTTAAATTACATTCATTTGCATAAATCAGGTTTTTGTCTTAGAACATTCTACATCTCCTGGTAGTTGATGGAAACAATGTATCTGGCTCACAAAGCGGAGATTAATTATCCTGCTGGTGGAAGCATGAAAATGACTACTGAGAGATGGAATACGGACAAGAAAAATGCTAATTTAAAAGGAAAAGAAAAAAATATATACACACCACTATTCCGTGCAGAAATCATTTAAATATATGCAAAGAGCTTTTAAAGCCAGGAAATGTAAAGTATTTTTCTCATTATCTTTAACAAGATCTTTTAGGACAAATAAATATGAAATATTCTGTAACCACCTTACTATATGCAGCCAGCAAGTGGTACATTCAAGCCCATTCACAACTTATCAGTGATCTACTACTATGCTGTGAATAGCAAGGGGAGCCAGTGTAATTCTTTTTGTTGCTACTCCAGCTTCCTCGTGTTCATTATTTAACCACTTGTGGACCAGTCCCTGTACATATAAGGCAACAGGGAGACCACTGTGTGCTGAATCACATATATAAACACGTGATCCAGCATTTTTGTGTAAGGGGCGGCACAGGCGCCCCATCTGTGCTGTGATTTGCTACAGCACAAGCCAATCAGCAAGTCCCAGCCGGGCTGGGCTAGGACCTGCTGATCGGCTGAGTGGTTGACAGTACAGAGGTCTTTGTTGACAAACAACACAGGGCTCTCTACAGACAGCAGCGATGTCCCATTTTTTTCCTCCCTGCAAAGCAGGGAGTAACAAATGGCACATCGCTTAGTAAAAGCAGAACATGCTACACACAGCACACATTGTTAGGCACACAGTTAACTCTTTGATTAACCCCTAGATGTTAACCCCTTACCAGCCAGTGTCATTAGTACAGTGACAGTATATAGAAATACCACTGATCACTGTATTAGTGTCAGATTGCCCACCGCATTATCACAGTCCCACTATAAGGAGATGATAGCCGCCATTACTAGTGTGTATATATATATATATATATATATATATATATATATATATATATATATATATATATATATATATATAAAACAATTCTAGTATATATCCCATAGTTTGTAGACGGTATAACTATCAGGCAAACCAATTAATATACACTTATTGGGATTTGTTTTTACCGAAGACATGTAGCAGAATACATTTTGGCCTAAATTTATGAAGATAATCAACATGCAATTTGTGTGCAGTGCGATCGGAGCCATACACCCGCAGCGGTTCACATGAACAGGGTGCGATTCTGATGCGGTGGGAAAATCGCACTGAAAACGCTGCAAATTCTGCACCACATCAGTATGAACCAGGGCTAAAACTGGAAAGAGCTTCCAAGTTTAATTGCACAAGCTAAAGTTGGAAGCTGATTGGCTGACAAGAACAGCTGCATCAGATTTTGCACTCTCCAGTTTTAGTAAATCGACCCCCAAGAATTCGGACACTTCCCCCCCTGCCTGACCTATAGGTGGCACTGCTACACACTCAGCCGCCATGTCTCTCTTACTAAAGCAGCAGAAATCATTTCATTGAAAACGCATCTCATCTCTACTTTTCATCTATTTTCATGAATGAAATATTTATGAGTTTTATACTGCTCAATAAAATACACAAATGTGCAAAGAAATCATAATTCTCATTTATTAATGAACAAGCCATTTCCTGTACTGAGCTGCAGATTCCACCAAGACCAGAAAGAAGTTGATGCTGCAAATTATTTAAAGTGATAGTAACCGGGAGGATGGAAACGCTCAGATGACCATTCATGGACGGCGATGAAAAAGCATCGCCAGCAGCATAAAGCTATTTGCGGTTGGATTCCGCTACAAAGGCACACTTGTATGGTCAAAGCATTGACCGTCCCACCTACTATAAAATGATGGCATTCAGGGGTCTCCAGAGAATGGTCCTGTACTCTTATAGTACGCAAAGTCATGTTAGACAATCAATACTGTGATATCTGCCAAATGGACCGGTCTGCTGGGCTTAAAGTGGTTGTACACCCTTACATATACCTAGTGACGTGACTGGTGATACACAGATGAAACAAATCCCCCTACCTACGTTGTACCGTTTATCTGCAGTCTTCTCTACATCCATTCAAAGCCCAGAATTTATAAAGCTTTACTGAGAGTTCAGAAAAAAGGGGGCAGAGAGCTGAAGTTACTCTTAAGAGCTCAGTGAGGAGAGCTCTGAATGCTGATTGGAGGGAAGGGTCACACCCCCCTACACACAGCTCACAGGAACAAAGCTGGGGCAGTCTGCTGGAGGTCCCTCCCCTTTCACCATTATTCTCTTAGTGTCAGGAAAATGTGTTAAAAGTGATTTATTCTGATAGCAGACAAACAAAACAGCAAACAGAAATGACATTTATGTCAGACATAGACTGTTCGAAAATCGGCCAATTTTTCAACCGGAAAAAAAAAAAAAAAAAAAAAAAAAAAAAAAAAAAAAAAAAAAAAAAAAAAAAAACGGCCGATTTTCGCACTGTTCGTGAGTTAATTGGTTGGCTTTTTTTTGTTTTTTTGCACTGTTGGAAAATTTGTGGGCGATTTGGACGATCGGACGATTTTTCCCAGCAATGATGGCCAAATCGGCCAGTTGTTTTAACAATAAAAAATCTGCACATGAGCCGTGATCAGCAAGGGACAGAAATTTTGGGGTGAACTTTATGATTTAGTCGGCCGATTTTTTTTTAATCGTTGGTGGTAACGTCGGCCCAACGAACGACCGATTTTTCTTTTATCGTTCGAAAAATCGGCCAATGTTCGACCCGTCTATGGCCGGCATTAGTGCTCTTAATAGAGATAAGCACACAATATAGAGGGATATGCTTTGTTCATATTTCATGTCTGAGGTTTACAACCACTTTAACTTCGGAAGGCCTGCCATTGTACTGCAGACAGGCGGCCTCCTACAGGCACGGCGACGTACCCAACCCCCACCCCCCCCTGCTGACTCCCAATGCAATTGGACACAGCAGGATTTTGTCAGCAGGTCCCTTCCAATAATTCATAGCCAGGACCTGCTAATCAGATGTGCCAATCACAGCCCAGAGCCCTGTGTTGACGAATATAGGGCTTGGCACAGAGGGAGCCATCTGTGTGTTTCTTCTCCCTGCAAAGCAGGGAGAAGAAACAGATTTTTAGTAAAAAAAAAAAAAAAAAAAAAAAAAAAACAGCGAACAATACACACATTAACACTTGCTGGGCACACACATAACCCCTCGATTACCCCAAGATGTAATCCCCTTCCCAGTCAGTGTCATTAGTACAGTAACAGTTAGGAATGCACTGAAATTTTAGCCGCAGAAAAATATTGGCTAAAAATAGCCATATCGGCATTTCGTCAATAGGAAAAATGTACCCGATACAGGTGACCATGTGCACTGCAGATGTAAAAGGGGGGTGGGGGGGGGGGGGGTTGGCGTCGGAGGAAGGCAGGAGAGGAGCAGTGTATAAAGGGACTGGCTGCCTAAATGTCAGTGCTGGTTTTTAAATGTACTTACCAGCTTTTTTTTTTTCCTTTACTATAGATCAGAGAAGGAGCTGTCATTCTCGGAGGGCTAAAAGAAACAAAGGGGCGGGGTCACCCAGTGGCATTACCCAGTGACCCCACCCCTTTGTTTCCTCTGGGGAAAGTGACAGCTCATTCTCTGAGCTATAGTGAAGAAAAAAAAAAAAAAAGTCATCCAGCAACAGCCAGTGAGGGAGCCTCTCTGTATACACTGCTCCTCTCCTGCCCCCTCCTTGCACACACTGTCCCCCCACCGCTCCCCCCTACAAAGAGGTCCTGTCACTTATATGCTATCACATATGGGACTATTGGTCCCCTATGCGATAGCAATAAAATCATAAGTTAAAAAATAAATAAAAATATACATTCGAGTAGAAAAAAAAAAAAAATAAAAAAAAAAAAGAAAAAACCCTTGAGCCTCCCCACTCCCACATACGCAGCCATTTCAGTTTTGGTTTGGTTTTCAGCCACGTGCATTCTGAATTTTAGGAATCAGTTTCGGCACCATAATTTTCATTTTGCGCACCACTAGTAACAGTGTATAGTATTATCAGTGAATAACTGTATTAGTGTCACTGGTGATGTCAGCATCAATGAGATCTTACCCAGTGTCAGATTGCCTCCCAGACTATCACAGTCCCACTATAAGTTGCTGATCACTGCCGTTACTAATATATTAAAATAAATAAATTCCAGTATAAATAGCATAGTTTATAGATGCTGTAACTTTCACACAAACCATTCATTTACTGGGATTTTAATATTTTCTACTAAGGGCATGCAGTAGAATACATTTTGGCTTAAATTTATGAAGAAAATGGAATATTAACAGGATATGTTTTATAGATTTAAAAATATTTTGTCTTCAGGGGGCAAAAGCTTCCGGAGCTGAAGTGGTTAAAAGAAGTCCAGGTATGGATATTTTATACATAGTGACATTGGCCCAGCTTGGCCCCCTTTAATTCTGTATATACCATACCTGGCCAAAGGCCCTGAAAGCAGGAAATTACTAGGTGCTTCTAGGCCCCATGCTGAGCGGCTGTCCTGCTCCATTCTGAACACAGGAGGTCGGCCACTCAGCACAGGCATTTTCTGAATGAATGCAAAGCGTTCTCTGATTGGACATGGTCAAGAGGCAGGGTGGTGACATCACACCAAGCTAAACCAATGTAACTATGTAATAATATACTACACCTGAAATTCTTCTTTAAAAAGAGGGCTGGGGATTTATTACTAGGTCCCTCTTGGGAAAGGGGTATCAAATACCCTGAAACTTTGAGGTTGGACCTCTATTACCTGTCTGATTATGCCGTCAATAGGAATGGCTTTCTTTATCCTTCATATTTGCTGTATATTTCTTCTGGATTTACTTATGTGGGGTGTTACTGGTATATACTGTATGCAGGGCTTGAAATTTCCACTCGCCTGATCGCCAATGGCGAGTGGAAATTATGGTGAGGGCAAGTGTGTGTCCCCCAGGGCCGTCTTGCTGAGCAGGTTCGGAGTTCAGGCCGGATCTGTCATTGGCACTGGGAGCCGTCAGACTGCTCAATAGCTGACCGCAGAGAAAGCAAAGCAAGGAGTGTGTGCTGTGCTCTCTGCCTCCCTCTAGGGTGCAGTACCCAGATCTGTGAGTGAACAACGAAGTACTGCAACATTTTAGGGGGGGTGTTTGTGTGTGTCTGTGTATGCATGTACAATTGAACATGTGTCTGTGTGTATGTACATGTGTGTATCTGTACATGTGTCTGCGTGTATGTACATGTATGTGTATGTGTGTGTGTACATGTACGTGTGTGTGCGTGTGTCTGTACATGCCTATGTGTGTATACATGTGTCTGTATGTGTGTACATGTTTCTGTGTGCGTATGTATGCCTGTGTGTGTGTACAGGTGTCTCTGTGTGTGTGTTTGCTGGTGGCGAGTAACTAAGGCCTGGCTAGTAGCTCAGGACTTAAAAATTTAAGCCCTGCTGTATATGTACAACATAGTACCCTCCTTGCTGCAGGTGGCCCCAATATGCAGTTACATGTTTACCACTATATACATCAAATGCCCTGTCCGGGCCGGTTCACACCAGAACGCTGCGCGGGAAACATGAGTCTTTCCTGCACCACATTCAAAATGAACTTCCTGTGCGATCCACTGCTGGTGTCAATACATATGGCATCCCAAATGTAGATCACAAACGCAAAGCATTTACCTGCATTAGATCGCAAGGTATTGCAGTACCATGCGATTAAGTGCAGTGTGTTTTTGAAAAGTGGTGCATTCGCTACTTTTTCTGCATTTGGGTGTAATTTGCAGCCCATTCAAATGAATGGGCTGAAAAATCACATCACACTGAATTGAAAAGGAATGCTGGTCGCTCTCATTTCAGGTGTGAACTGACCCTTACCTATTATTTAGGCCATATTTATCTAAAAACCTAAATTTAGTTTAAAAAAAAAAAAAAAATCAAAAAAAGGACAACTTACTCCAGGGGTCTCCAGTCTAAACAAAGGGACAATTTGTTGTCCATCAGATATTAGGAGGGCCAGAATGTGGCTAGCGGGGGTAGAAAATACCCCGATGTCAGTGTAAGTAATCAATGTCCCATCATGGGGGGAAAAGTACCCAATCATTGGAGTGAGTGGGAGGAAGAGTGCCTTGTATCAATGGGAGAAATAATGCCCCAAGGGCCTGTTAGAAGCAAGCAAAGGGCCACATCAGGAGTTTGGAGAGCAATGACGTACACTATCAGTACAATGTGACCCTGGCTCCTGCATTAGTCGACATTTTCCTCCTTCAGTCCTCAGCTGAAACACCTGAAAAGGCACATAACATGATTTTTATTTAACAATCTCTTGTCTCTTTCTCCTAGTAACTAGCTTTCCATCGGCTAAAAGCCTAAAAACACACAAAAAGAATCCAAAAACGCTTGAAGATGCTTAAACTCAGGTGTAAATCTAGACTTCTGGTTTGCACCTACTTGAAGCCGCTCCATGCGATAGCTAATAGTAGACTTGTTTATGTCTAAGGAAAGTGGTGCTTTCAAGAAACCACAAGATCACACCGCTTCCTGAAGAAGTACTAAGGGTGAAAAAAGACGGTTTGGGCAGATGTTTTCCAGGCCTCCTTCTGCTTTTGTGGTCGCTTTATTTTCTAAATCACATTATTAGAAATGTGACATATGGCTCCATGACCATTCACTGAAAAGCACTTTACGAACGTATTTAAAAAGCCTTTTCTACTTTTTTTGTGTGAGAAATTGGGGAGTCGAGCGGCTAAAACGTCAGTCAGGAATTTATTTCTGCCCATTGCACTTTTCTTGCAACACCCACAGAAGAAATGGAGAAGCAGTAGTCACCAGGGACAAGCAGGAAGACCAAGGCAGCAATAAAAACACTGTCAGATGTTCTAACCCTTCCCCACTGGACTAAAAATGTAGCAGAAATTTCTGATCATTTTCTGTCTTGATGGGAAACTTCTCCAATGGTGACAAAAATGGCGATTAACTTGACAATGGTCTAGCCCTTTAACTGTACAGTCTCCTCCTCTTAGTGTGCCAGTTCGTACAGAATCAAGGTTCCATGTTATCAACAAGTGCCCTCCCCAGCTAAAAAATGCACTATATTGTCAAAACTATTGGGGCATCCCTCCAAATCATTGGATTCAGGTGTTCCGATCACCTCCATGGCCACAGGTGTATAAATCAAGCACTTAGGCATGCAGACTGCTTCTACAAACATTTGTGAAATAATGGATCGCTCTCAGGAGCTCAGTGAATTCAAGCGTGGTACCATGATAGGTTGCCACCTGTGCAATAAGTCCATCCATGAAATTTCCTGGCTACTAAATATTCCACGGTCCTGTTAGTGGTATTATAACAAAGTGGAGCAACAGCAACTCAGCCACCAAGTGGTAAGCCACGTAAAATAACAGAGCAGGGTCAGCGCATGCTGAAGCACACAGAAGTCACCAACTGTCTGCAGAGTCAATAGCTAAAGACCTCCAAACTCGAGCATGTGGCCTTCAGATTAGCAGCACAACAGTGTGTGTAGAGAGCTTCATGGAATGGGTTTCCATGCCGAGCAGCTGTATATCCAAGCTTTACATCACCAAGTGCAACGCAAAGAATCAGATGCAGTGGTGTAAAAGCACGCCGCCACTGGACAATTTCATGCTCCCAACTTTGTGGGAACAGTTTGGGGATGGCCCCTTCCTGTTCCAACATGATTGCAAGGTCCATAAAGACATGGATGAGCGAGTTTGGGGTGGAGGAACCTGGCTGGCCTGCACAGAGTCCTGACTTCAACCGGATAGAACACCTTTGGAATTAATTAGAGTGGGAGACTGTGAGCCAGGCCTTCTTGTCCGACATCAGTGCCTGACCTCACAAATGAGTTTCTGGAAGAATGGTCAAACATTCCCTCAGACACTCCTAAACTTTGTGGAAACCTTCCCAGAAGATCCAGTAGCCTCTTCGAAAGGAGATTTGGCAACACCAGCTTTCCAACAGCCATTAATGACACCACTACCCCTGCAGGCTACATTTTCTCAACTCCACCTACACAACAGTTTGGAAAATTGCTAACTCCCTTTTGTTGAGTCCTAAAGTTTGGTGTGTGTGTGTGGCCTCATCTTCCTTTGAAAAATGCTGATTACAGGGCACGTGTAGATAGTGGGAGAAAACTACAAGCTGAGATGCACCATCTACCTGTGCCTACATCTTCTGCCATCCTTCCCTACAATGAGGGTGATGGTGGGGATAAGCTGGTTACTAGCCCAGTACTGACCATGGGCTGACCAGGTATACTAGGGGATGAGTTTAGGCCAATCTGGCATTGTACTGTAAAAAAAGTTGCATAGAGCATAAAAGAATGTCACTTTGGTGACAATTATTGTGCAGAAAGACCTAAAATGTATCTAGTCAAAATGTAAAGTCTTGGATTCAGTAGAGAAGGGATAGCCAGCCCAATAGATTTTATTGCAGTCTGTGCAACCCCTAGGAAAATCCACACTCTCAGTCTGGGGGACCATTGTCACCAGGACTTATAGTGAGGAAAGAGCCAATGTACGATTTTGGATAGAGTAGGGAAGGGATAGCAACCTTGCTAGATTGTTACTGTGATATGTGTACCTGCTGAGGACACTTTGTCTTATGTCACCAGGACTTATAGTGAAGAAGGAGCCAACGTTCGGTTTTTGATAGAGTAGGGAAGAAATGGCAACCTTCAAAGTTTTTTTTAATGCGTTATGTGTCCCTGCTTGGGAGATTTTCCTTCTCTGTCTTAGAGACCATGAGGTCACCAGGACTGAAAGTGAGAGAAGAACCAATACTTGAGAGGTTGTCACCAAAACAAGAAGAGTTGAAAAGTAGTGCAATAGGATCATGTTCGGCAGTGACAACAGTGTATGGGAGGACTTCTCTCGCTTTGGAGACATTTACTCCCTCAAAGTTCTATCACTCTAACATTCAAACAGTTGTAACATTCAATAGTGTCTCAACCCATAATGCACCATCCGATGCTGCCCTCCACAGGACAGGCAATCTCCAAATGAACTGTAAAAACACACAAAACAACGCAAATGCCCAGTGCATTACCACCACCAATGTATTTGGTTCAAAAGCCACAAACTGGAGAAGAAATAAGCACATGGTTAGGCTCGAGGAAGGTGTGTGTCCAGAGACATGTTAGCCTTCCAACCACAGCATAGATGGCTAGTAAAAATGAAAGAATCCCCAACCCCTCAAAGCAACAACAAAATCGTCAGACAAACATGATTCTCTCTTTATATACCTGGACAAAATGACCTCAAAAACCCTCAACAAACCAAGTCGAAAACTATTTCTGCAATCCCTCTGTCCTTGTAGTGTACCTAGAACTGTTTAGCCCCAGTTCACCCCACCATTAGTACAAACGTTTGTGGATATTCTTGTGAATGAAACATCTCCACGTCAACACATGGTGAAGATGACGGAAACAGGCGCATGATCTGGCATTCACCATGCATGGTTCAATGAGGGTTGCTTCCTGGAGCCGAAAGGCAGCAATGTCACACTTTGAATTCCAGTTGCCATGGTGACAGCTTGCTACAGTAAACTAGATATTTTTCTTAATATCTTTAGCTAGCACGCTATTTTTTTTCTCCAGTTGCAATGTTTCCCTCGTTTCTGTTCATGTGTGAAGGAAACAAAGATTTCATGAAGGAGACGCTGCATTATCCATAGTAATGGGCTTCGGCTTTTCTGACCTGAATGTAAATACGCCATGTCAGTTGTGAAGGGGATGAAGTAAATGATCCGTGAGACGAGCCATGAACAGAATGTAAAGCGAGTGCCCAGTGGTATGAAAAGGAACATTGACCTCCTCCCCAGGAGGATGGAGAACCATCAGAAGATGCTACTAGACCAGCTCTGGAGCCCACAAGATACCAGATTAGTCTGTACAGGACGTAAGATTGCCCACAGACATTCCTACAAAATCTGCCAAATGGATTTATTTATATAGCACAAACAAACAATTTACACAGCGTTTTATACATTGTACATTACCATCAGTCCCTGCCCTCAAGCAGTTTACAATCTAAAGTATCAATCTCACACGCATACACACTAGGGCCAATTTGGCAAGGAGACAATTAACCCAACTGCACGTTCTTTGCACCATGGGAGGAAATTCGTGATACCCAGAGAAAACCCATGCAAGCACTGGGAGAATATGCAAACTCCATGCAGATAGGGTCCTTACCAGGATTCAAACCAGTCACCAACCATGCTGCAAAGCAGAAATGCTAACTACCAAGCCACTGTGCTAGTTTCATAAAGCAGAGCGGAGCTCCAGGCAAACACCTAAATACACAAATGAAAAAAAAAAATAAATTGCTTGCTGTTCCTCCGTTAAAGCGGTTGTAAAGGCAGAAGGA